GAAAAACTAGTGAGTGAGTACGTCTGTCGCTTCGGTGTCCCTGTCAGTTTGCATTCTGATCAGGGAAGGAATTTCGAGTCCCAGGTGTTCTCTGAAATGTGCACGGTCCTAGGGATCGAGAAGACGCTCACAACGCCCTACAATCCAAAATCAGACGGGATGATTGAAAGATTTAATCGCACGCTGCTGACGATGATTTCAATGATGATTGAACCACATAAACATCAACGGGATTGGGATACCAAACTTCCATTCGCCACATTTGCCTACAGAGCTACCCCACAAGAGTCGACGGGTGAAAGCCCTAACATGCTTATGTTAGGCAGAGAGGTTTTCCTACCAATCGACTTGATGAGCGGAATGCCTGCTAAGGTGGACCACGGATCAGAAGTGGTGGCAAGTGACTACGCATTGGAGTTGAGAGACAACATGAGGGCCGCCCACGATAGAGCAAGGTTTTGCCTGAAACAAAGTGCTAGGCGCCAGAAGAAGAATTACGACCTAAGAGCCGCAGGAGACAGACTACCTGAAGGGCAGTTCGTATGGCTATACAATCCTGCCAAGACAAAGGGAAAGTCACCAAAGCTCCAACGTAAATGGGAAGGACCTTATCTCATTGTCCGGAAACTATCCGATGTGACCTACAGAATTCAAAGGTCGCCTCGCGCAAGGCTGAAGGTGATTCACTATGATCGCCTTAAGCCGTACATTGGTGAGCCAATGGAACCATGGAAAGTAGGAGAGCCTACGAAGGTTACGCCTGCGGATGACATGAGACCAGACACGCCAGTGACAGACCACAGTGACCTGGCCGGAGATGGGTTGGTGATCCAGCATGAGGAGAAAGATTGCCTTGGGTCTGAAGCTTCAAGGTCTGTAGAACAGCAAGTAGAGCACCAGACGAGACAGGTTGATGATGTGAGCGACCAACCGCAAGCAGACGAGCTACCTCAGACAGATATCCCGAGTACGATACCGGAGCCTAGCTGCGTTGAGACGCAACAACCGCAGCGAAGAAATCCAGCAAGGCAGCGGAAAGTTCCGCAGCGTTATTTGTAGAAATAACAAAGGATGGTGCCTACCGAGGATGCCAAGAGCCTACTATGTACTTTGCAGATTGTACTGGAGTAGGAATTTTCAGTAGCAGTAATGTAACTCAACCGTTTCTCTGTTGTGTCTTTCAGAGGCCGAGAAGACAAGTGAAGGATGGGGAAGCAGGAGGAGAGGAATTGTGACGCAGCAGAAAAGGGGACAGTGGAGTGCCCCAAATGCCACATGTGGATGCACAAGAGGAGCCTTGAACGGCATTTGATGGTCGAACATGGCCCCCGACTGTTCTTCTGGTGTCTTCGTTGTTCGCACAAGAACAACCGCAGGGACAACCTCCGAGCACATTACGGAGACTGCCACCCAGATAAGATCCAGGAAGTCGATAGGATCGAAGGTGAGAGTTATGAGATGCGTGAGCGCAGTAGGCGCAGCGGTGAAGGCGATGCTTGAAGAAGGGGTTTGGAGATGCCTAATTCGCCGGAAAGGAGCAGTAGGAGAAGCAGAGCACCTACCAAGCAGAAGGAGCCAAAGGAGCCTAAATCAAGCAAGGACAGGCAAGAGACCACCAAGAAGAGAAACCGGGGAGATGCCAAGGCAGAGCAGTCTCAAAAGGGAGTACAGGAAAAACAGAGAAGCCCCTGCGCAGATATGTCTACTGGGAGAGACGACCGAGAAACAAGCAAGAGCTGTCCTAGGAAGGAGACTAGGGATAGCCAGCATAACAAGCAGGAGAAGGATTCCAAGAGGAAGCGTGACCATGACAAGGATGAGCGACCAAAGGTCAAGAAACAGAAGGGTAAAGTGCCAGCACCATGCACGGTTTCTCGACCACCCGATGACGCCACACTAGACCTTTCGACGGCGGGAGGACGAGTGCCAAACCGGAAGGAGAAGGAAATGACTGTGACACCTGGACAGGAAAGGCGAGCAAAGGCGGCTGACTTGCCTAAGAATGTGAAAGATGCAGCCCCTGCCTTTGAAGACCACGCACCTTCGGATACTGGCCCTGACGTACCAGAGGCAGGAGGGGAGGTGGAGAAAGGTGATACCGAACAGCCATGGCAAGGATCTTCAGGGGAGCTGGTAGAAATAGCACTGTCGCCCACACCAATGCTGTGGGATCAGGAGGAAGAGCTCATCGAAGGCCTAACTTCAGCCCCAACTGGGGGTAAGCCGCTTGCGATGTTGGCAATGCTACACGAAACATCGGCTGAAAAAGATGTGCCTACCGAGGAGAACAACCATAAGAAGGAAGATTCGCCTCAGCCATTCTGGCCTCAACCCCTGTTGCCGGAGAGGCTCCTACCTGGACAAATGGTTCGTGTGAAGGAAACCCGAGAGACCTACCTGTATGCCAAAGAGAGACGCACTATCTGCGGGGAGGTCCAGAGGGAATTCGACATCGTATATCTCAAGTCCCTACGTGCTAAGAGGGCCAGCGAGTCTTCTGATCCGCAGAACAGCAGTCAGCTCCGTCGCCTCGTCCGTTGCGAGAACACCGGGGAGGTTGTCGTAGGAGCACCTATGGGAAGGCAGGATCTTGAGAGAGCGATGGTGGGCAACGTTATGCAAGTCCGGGAGACGTCCTCGAGGTGTGTGTTCCAGGAAGGCCGCAAGATCACCAAGGATAAAACTACCCGTGTCTTCGATGTGAAATTCCCAGCCGGTGTGCTCGACAAAGATTAAGTTTTCGTATAAGTTTTGTTGTTCTCGATCGCCTAAGTAGTGCCCTGATCGCATGTTGTTTAAAGTAAAGTTTTCTTCAAGTGTTCCGACTTTTACAAGTTTATAGTTTTGAATAATGTTACATTTCTAGGAGTAAAAGGAAATGTTGCTCTGTGTTAGGGTTTAGTTCATGAAGAGTCACCTTACGAGGGTATAAGTGTGTACTTGAGACATATTATGAGTGTATAAGTTAAGGTGATAGAATTCACTTTCGCGTTAAATTAACCTGTTGAGGAGTAAACCTACTGGGTGCAGATGGACTCAGACTTTGTTTTAGTATTTTGTTATTGCTAGTTTTCCGATTATAAAGAGTTGTGGCCTAAGGTTTATAGAAAGTGGTTCCTGCTAAGGCGAAAGTTTTCGAAAGTTATGGGAAAAAGTGGCGCCTAGACTTAGAATTGTATTAAAGAGAAATATTGACCTATATAGGAGTTAAATGCAGAACATAATTTCGCTTTTAGTTTTTCAGATGTTTAGGTCAAGGGACTGACCAATCTTGGGTCATGGCAATGTAGCGAAATTATGGTCCGAAGTTAGGACGCCCTCTGTTAAGTTAGTTTATTCATGAATGCCGTGACGTATGCATACCGCGCGGCTATATAAGCAGTGCGCGGTGGCGGGAAGGTCACTCTGTGGCGGGAAACAGTTCGAGGCAGTAAAAGTCCTGTGAGTAGTCCTGTACCGTCCGTCATTGTTCCGTCCGTCGTAGTTACTGCAGAGTCCGCACAGAGTCACGTCTGTTGAAGTCCCGTTAGAGTCACGTCCAGTTTACTGTTAGCCTTGTGAGTAGTTCAGTGTAGTCCAGTGCACCCTTTTCTTGGAGTAAATAGACCAAGTCACCGCAGATATTTAAGCTCTCCCAATTGACCAGGAATTGTGTCTACTCAGTGTGTTACCCTGTTTAGGTGATTATAGGCGCCACTACAGTAATCCTACCAAGGTGATCTTTGTTTTAATAAATCATTATTCCAATTACACATCGAGTTTGAGTGCTGTTTTGTAGAAACATCAGACCCCAGTCCCATCCCATTCTCCTGTGTCCGCCCAAGTACAACCCCGGTGTGTGGAAGGAAGCAGCTGCGAGCGCCTGGCGGTAGACTGCCCCAAAACGGACCTGTTCCCCTGGCCTTCCCTACAACCGCTCGTCGGGTCGGCAGAGGGCAATCCCAGGCTACGTCGACACAGGCCGCCACAAATGGTGTCAGAAGTGGGATAGGCGCTGCAGTAAATTTCTTGACACACTACCTACCTAGGGAATCACCTACCTAGGAACATCACCTACCTAGGCAAGATGGCGAAGAATTTATTGATTGACAGAAATTGCTTTTCTATAACTGCATGTACAAAACCAATGAGAGCTGTTGCGAAAAAGTTACAAACAAAGGAAAAGGGAAGAGGAACAAAGGAAAATCCTTAATTTACACCATAAACAAACGTGTCTGCGCTAGTGACATCAAACTGTTCTGTTGTGGCTCCTGACAAATAATGATGACGTCTTCAGCATAACAATTCATGCGAAGTGTTGACGTGTTTCATAACGACAGCTAACAGCCATTCAATCATCCGCCAATGAATACGAACGGAGTCTGAGCCACAGTACCCGACTACTCCTGGTCGTAAAGTTTTTAAAGTTCAAAGTTGGACATCTAGCTGGCAAGGGTGGCCAATTGTTGCATTTTTTGTTTAAACACTCAGTCAACTGTAAACCTAGTGTGCTATAAACAGTGAGGTCCATTACTAAATTCTAGAGACAAACCCTAGGTCAGTAAACAGCTGACTGGTACTCAATATTTAGTACTTTTCATGTTTGTTGTGTCGTCTGTTAGGATTAGCACCATATATCTGACGTTGTCCCCTCCATTCACTTTGAATGTGAAGAAGTGGCATTTATGAAATATACAATATAAATTCCCCTCCCGACCGGTTTTTACACTCTTGAGTGATGATAACCTAAAAATCAATGTTGAATGGCATTAGGTAAACTCAAAATGCTGTCATATGAAAAAGTCAGACTTCACTCTCAACCAAACTTGGTGACAATAATCTTTGGGTAGGGGCACTTAAGATGACTTAAACTCAAACATCATCTAGGGGTCAAATGAGGTCATTGTTGATTTTGTTGTACACTGAACAATGTGCTTACTAACTGACCGTATAAAACACTGCCAGCGTGCCAGGGGATCGCGAAAGTTTAACTTGCAGTATATTTTTATTTTTATTTTCAGACGATTGTGAGGTTCAGGATCCAGTCAATGGTGAGCTTGATCAACGGATCAGAAGTATCCGGCACAACAGTGAGCTTGATTACTCTTGTAATAATGGATATGACAAGGAGAACAAGGTGACTCGTTGTGAGTTGGGGGTGTTGACCCCAGGCCCACCAAAGTGTGTCCATCGTAAGTATATCTTTTATTTATTTACTTCAGTTTAAAAGGGACCAATACATATAAGTTAAAATCATATTTCAAATATTAAAAACAAATCTGCAAATGTAAGCATGTGATAACTTAAGGAATTAAATAAATGCAATTCATAAATACCCAAGACAGTTAACCCATTCCTATCGGCAGGGTTGGCTGATTTAAATCACATTGATTTCAATCCCAAGGGGGTGTTCCACAAAATAGTTGGAAATTTTAAATTTTTGACTTGTTTTGACTTTTGGACCAAAAGGTTGTGATTTTTTTTACCGAAAAGGTATTTATGAATGGGAATAAATGTGTGCTTGGCCAGTATTAAACACAATGTTATAGGCCGGTTGGAGTCTGGATGCTGATAATTACCATTGCCTTCGGCTTGGGTAATTATCAGCATTCAGACTCTAACCAGTCTGAAACAGAGTGTTTAAAACCAGCCAAGCCCTGTATAGATAAAACAACATGAAGTAATCAAAGAGGATTAATAAACAAATAATTTGGACAATTTGTGGGATAGCTGACCATTTGTATCTCTATACTTGCCTGACCGAGAAGTACCGAAAGTGCTCCTTAAAGAGAACTAAACATCGGTTGTGAATTTCAAAGCAGAGATAACAACATAGTATACGTGCACATGTACAATCTCGATGAGTCAAACCTCAAGGGAACAGGTTAAAAATGTGACTTTAGCAGAGTTTTGAGTTAAGCAGGGTTGTATATCATTGTTATACTACTGATGAGGGAATGGATTCTTTGTTTGACTTAACAATTTTTTTAAGTTATCAGAGTTTGACTTATCGAGATTTCACTGTACATATGAAGTTCTGTGCAAGGACAAGAAAGAATAGCAACAATATTTTACAGATTAGCATAAGCAAAAAAGATTTTGATTACAGAAAGAAACAAGAAAAGTGAAACCAAATTCCTCAGCACCCCAACTTATATTCTTTACACCGTTCAACATTTATTAAATGTAAAAAGTGCATGTATAAAGTTTAAGAAGATATGAGAACGCTACGGTACGCTGGGCATCATGAAATTAAAAAACAAGCTGTGTAACAATAATTCACTCTGATTTAACTTTGCAAAAAGACGATTTCAGCAACAGGAAGTTTTCAAGTCATTCAGTTGTGAACACAACAGTAACCTTGAAGATGAATGTACATGTACAAATAATGTACTTCACTTCTAAAATGAAAAGTGAGAACAAATATGGCAAGTACATGTAGCTGTAAATAGCAGTTTCATTGAACACTGAAAAAATTAACCCAGTGCACATTTGTGCAAATCAACTTGACAACTTCCATGTTTGAAGGAATTCAATAAACGCATACATGTATGTCAAATACTGCCGTTTCTTATATTTACCTAGTTATAATTAATATCATGATACATTAAACAGTTGTTGACTGCTGTGATGTGGGATATGCCATTTAAAACCTGAGGAGTGCATAGCATCCAATGCGAAGCCGAGGGTGCCTATGTGTCCCGAGGGGGTTAACAGCTAAAGTCAACAATTGTTTTGCTACATTGTGCCAAGAAGTCAAAAACGAGAAATGGCTGTAATGCTAACTATGCAAGTGATACACAAATGTACACGTGTATATTAAATCAGTCCCTTGATAACTGCTTTCCTGCTGGACATGAGATTGAGCTGTTGCGCATTGCATGAGTTCCCATAAGGGCGCCCTTGCAGGTTCTACACGCACCCGCAACACGCATAGTATATAGAGGTTAACTATTGTACATGCATTTTTCCAGACTGGACATGTGACCGTCCTCGACAAATGAAATTACAGTATCCAAGCACATGATATAACAAATTGTATTGTGTCCTTTGTGTGATATGTACTGTGTTTTATCTCAAAGAAGTAACTGTGTTACATCCATAGTCAACAAAACACAACAAGCTGTAACAAGCAACAAAGCTCACAGATATACATGTAGATACAATGTACTAGATGTGATCTAAACATTACCAAACAGCATCATTGACCCAATAACCTTTCCCTAATTGTAGTATTTTTGTTGTTTTGTGACTGTTTTCTCCAGGGCGCTGTAGTTTAAGGGCAAGTCATCTCACTAACGTTATGATCAACAACCAAGAGCTTGAACCAGATGCAGAGGGGAAAGTATACATTTCTCATGACACCCATGTCATCTTCAGTTGCAAAAGAGGATATGAACTAACAAATAACAATAGATACACTCCTCGGTGTTGGATGGGAGAGCTTTTGTATTACACTCATATTCCATCCTGCCACCCAGGTAATCACAACAAAAAGAATTGTTACTTTGTATAAGATAATATTTTAACAATCTTTATCGTCCCCTTCCGAGTACATTTTTGATTAATCAAATGAGTGATTTATATTTTGCCCTGACTGCTTAGTTGCCTTGATAATGACATGTACATGTACAAGGTGTATTTCATTACAGAAAAGTAGTCGCCTCTGTTTACCTACATTTGCATGTCAGTGTGGGCTAGTGCACAAGTGTAAAAGTTACCCAAACCACACCCTCCGAGTCCCATGCATGTCCCCACAAAACACCCTGAAACACAAAGGCTCTTTCTAGTTTTTTTCAGCTAGCCGAATGTTACAAAGACCACAATGTAAATGCCCTCTGTGCAACCTGAGCAGCACTCTAAGCATGACAATTCCACCGTAGCGAAGGGATCTAACTTCCCTAGTTGCAAGGCTGGAAATCCTTGGAGTACAAGCCATTCAGCAGGATTTGTTAGCACAGCTCAACAGCAAATCCACACACCTGTAGTAATCTTGAGAGCATGTACATGTACATGTATACACAGGTTACAATAGAGTTGGAGAGGTTTGGCACGTGCATGCGGGCCTGGCGTGCGATGCCTCGGGTGGCTCAATAAGGGGCATGCAAAATTAAAGATGCTGTAACTTGAGTTTTTACTTCAAGGTTTAACAAGGTTTAAAGGGTTTCACAGGGTAAAGTGGGGTTAAACCCTGACTTTAACCTTTTTTTCAACGTTGCATACTTCCGTAAATCGTTCAGCCCAGAGGGACCACCAAAACCACCCTCGGCCATAACTACTAGCTAGGCAGATTTGCAAGCAAGTTTCACCGGTGAGACGTGATATTTCCCACACCGTTCTAATCCTCACATGTGGTCATTTTTGCCAAACGATCCACGTGAGTACATGCAGGGTCCAAACGATTTGCAGCAGCATGGTGCCCCAGGATACGGCATTACTGCATTTGTCATTACAGGATTAGTGAACATGCCGGACACTCTGTTGCGGGAGTTCCTGGCACACTACGCACACACACTCCTGCTCAGGTTCCCAACATTGATATTGTTGTGGAGGTCAGCGTTCCGGGGAACGATCATGATCCTCACCTGTATGGAGGGGTCAATAGTAGTGGTGCTACTGATCCTCAAAGTTTGGTTCAGTAGCGGTTCGATTTTTTCTCTCCGAACTTTGGTTCAGTTCGGCTTCGGAAGTGCATACATAATGAAGATGTCCATACAATGTATTGGGCTACGATGAAAAGCATATACATAGGCTGTTCCCCTGTTCCAACAAACATGTGTGTACCGCGCACGTCTGACAGAAATAGGCGCCGCAATTTGCACATGCTATGCAACACAAGTTAAAGGATGAATAGTATTTTTGTTGTGTAAACAAAATTCCGTTATAATTTGACTTGATGACGTTGAGAAATAAACATTGCTACCGTGTTACCTATCGCAGCCCTATCTGGCCTGGCAACTATATGAGCGATCGTGTAGTGATTGGCCCGGTTCCTAACTTAAGGGAACAAAATCTTCTTTAAAATTATTAGACAGACCAAACTAATTGGTTCTCAATAAACAGGTATGGCATAGATAGAGGGCAGGGTTTTGAATTTTTGTGAGGGAAATTTGGGGGTTAAATGACGATGACAGTGCGGCGACACAACACGCATCCCAAAAATATAAAAGATGGCTATCCCCCCGCGATGTACCGTGAGCTCGCACGGCGCGCTGAATCGCAAGGTACAAACCGCGCAGGAAAATTGTGATTTCTACCTCAAGAAACTATTCAAAATTGCAAAACGGTGTCATTAGAATTGAGAAAAGTCTGCTTTTGATTATAAAGGTGATTTTTTTTAGCAATACAAAACATTTTGACTCTAATTTGATCAAAACAAAACAGGGGCCCTACGCTACACGATCGCTATAAAACTTTCCCACACGCTTCATGGCATTAATTGCTGAGTAGTTCTGTTCTAAGAACAAACAGGTCCTTTCACTGTGCCAAACTTATGAAATCATATTTTTTTTAACAACAAGCTGACAAGTAGCTACCATAAAAAAATAATAACTTTTTGATTCGCTACTTTATGACTGTGGAGAAGTGTGTGGATCCATATTGTAAAGGGGGTTTCACCTTCTTTTGGGCGATTACATCGTTTTTCGTATTCATTCGTTACGAATAAAAGAATATATTGCAAAAATCACAAACTTATTCTGAACATGGGAAAGGTGTCAGACTCCATAAAAATATTATTTTTTTTAATTCTGATACGTTGAAAAAACTGAAAATGCTGGTGAATTTTGCCGAGGAAAGCACACCCCTTACCGCAATTGGTTTGGTCCAAAACGTACTACGTCACGCTGGGACACGGTGCAGCATGCAGGGCCGGATACTGACCACACTGGATGAAAGCAAAAAGCACGCTTTTCACTGAGAAAATCGCAAGGCGCATACGATTTTTTCAAAGCGTATCGGTCCGATATCCTATTGTATGCCCGGCTAGAACACTGCAAATAATGAAGATGAACGTGGTGACTTGTCAACACGTTAAATTCAATCATCCATGCGTGTGTTTTTTTTTGCCCTTTCATTGCAAGCATTAGCATTCCTAACATTTGGGTTCGGTTCGGAAGGCCAAGCTCGGCTAATTTTAGTTTGGTTCGGCGGTTCGGCTGTAGCACTAGTCAATAGTATCATAGAGTGTGGAACTTACTCTGTGTCTTGCCACTTTGGAGCTTTTCAGGTTGTGTATTCCACATCGGATCTCTCTTCAGGCCACGCATTTGCCCAGGAAGATGAATATATTGGTTGATGGGGGTGGAAGTACACTGACAGAGTAGCCTTTTTATCAACCAACAGTCAAACATGTCTTCAACAACCTTGGAAGCCCACATGCCGACCTATTTGCCTCCGATCTTAACAATCAGCTTCCAAAGCTCTTTTCATGTCAAGCTTTTCCCATTGCCACTAATCTCCCTACCACAACAGGTTCGTACAAAGTCATCCAAGATCCTCCTGATCACCCCTTTCTGGCTGTGACAGCCATGGCTCCCTCGTCTCCTGGGTCTCCTTATCCATTCCTCAATCATGCTCCTGCCCAGACCCCTGTCACAACCCAGATCTCACATTCTGTTGTCATATTTGTGCCTGGATGATGTCAAAGTCTTCTTCCAAGCAGCTGGCCTTTCAGGTGAAGCTACAGCCGTGGCATCTTCACCTCTTTACTTATACTTGACAAAGTGATGCAGAAAGTGATTCAGAAAAAAAGTGTTCATTCCCATTTAAATCTCTACTATCTGAAGCTGTCAGCCACTGGTGTCCTCCATATAGGTTTTAATGATGGTTCAATTATCTCTACAAACTCACCCATGCCACACATAATAAGGGGTTTGTTTGTTAACAGTCCAACAAGGAAACTGATCTCAGCTTGGGATCAGGTGCTAATTTTCTTCTCATGAATCAGATCTCCTTATGAACCGGCAAGTTCTGCTCCCTGGATAAGTACATTGTAAAAATGGTATATCTCGGGGCTGCAAAAACAGCTCGCCATAGAAACAAGCTCCACTCTCTTTCAGTAGAACCAGGTCACATACGCTGGGATTTGGTCGGGGTCCATCTGATTCCATGGTCAAGTTCTTCACCAAGAATCAGTCACTTGAATTTTGTCAACAAGACATCTTTGTTCATAGTTTGGCCATGGATCCTACAGAGAAGGCTGAACGACTCTGCCAACCTCTTAGATGCGTGAGAACGGCCTGTACAGGTTGGAATACCATGATTACTTGTGTCAACAAAGACCCAGACAGCTTAACCGCTTCACTGCAGGAGATGCCTATCAAATTTACAGGGCTCTGCGCTTGATCTGGTGTCGAAGTTTGTTAAGCCAGCTAATTTGATTTTTAATATTCATGATTCTACATTTTTGGCCTTTATTAATGAATTCTAATAAGTGATAATGTTAACGTAGAGCGCCATATCTTTAGCTTTAAAATGAACTATGAAAGGTCGCATTTGTTTTTCGGTTCAGGACCACATCTTCTGAAAACTTTTTGATGAAAGCCTAATTAAAAACGAGATTGGGGTAAACGACGTTCTCTTTGTGAATCTTTATATAAAAAATAAATGAGGAATAAAAATATTAATAAAAACATGAATAACCATAGAAAAAAATCAAAAACTGAATTCCTAGCAATGCTTGTTTTTGTACAAAAAAAAATCTAAAAAAAAAAAAATCATCCAACTGGAAAAAAAAGCATTTTGTATCAAAGACAAATGAAATATTAAAAAAAAAACTCATTGAAAAAGGTGTACCATTTGACATTTTCCTCCTGGGGTAAATAGTCATCTACATATATGACGACTAAAACTCCACAATACCATCTGTTATATCATGGTTTTGTAGCAAAAAAAATGATGAAACAAATAATCCTACCTTGAAACTCACGTATGTTCACCTTCTTACAGCCTTTAAGAATTAGTGTGCTGTACCCAACTCACAATTGTGACTTTTCTATCGATCTTTCTATTGCAACGAGCTCGAGGACCGTCGCGATATCTGACGGGTTTTAACGAGATTTCATGTAGAGCGCCAGTTGGTGGCGATTAACATGCCAACGGGTGTTAAGGCCCGTTATCAAGCATCCAACCAAATTAGGTAAATCCCTTCAGTGCATTTTGTACTAGAACTCAAAACAATCATTCATTCTTCTCTGTAGGATTCGTGGTTTGACAGGCTCCTCATCAGTAGTGGAGGATAAATGGTAGTGCCCTAAATAATCTTTGAAATATCTTGCATTCGTACCAAGCCCATTAGAGTTTTTCGTTACAACTGTCCACCTTACCATCAGGCCTCAGTGACCACATTTACATGATGGATTTTGTAGGCCAGTTTAAATCCAACTTACTATCGAGGATCAACATCTTAACCGAGATTACTATTGAAAATCCTACCAATCAAGGATTTTCATAGGCCCATGAAACACTCGGTGTGTCAACAGCTATTGGCACATCAACTTGAGTGCCTCTCTCCGAAATCATGAAAGCGGCCTGCAGGAAGAATCCATCCACCTTCATCAGGCCACGCTACTTGAAGGACATTGTGCAGGCAGAGGCCCATATGGCCAGCAAGGTCCAACTGACAACTGCATGTTCAGCAGCCCCCTAAGCCCACAAAGCTCCTTTTTCATAGTAGATAGGCAGCTGCATATTCTTGACGTTTTCTTGTAGGCTTAATAGTCGAGACATTTCTTGAATGAAATCGCTGCACGTACCTTCACTCTAATTTTTGGGCTTTTCGGTGCTACTCTGCAACTAAAAATGAGTTGAGTCATTTTTTGTATAGTGGAATCCCCAAAATCCAAAGGGATCGATGTTCCAATCCATGACACGGAGAATGTTGTTTGGGCAACTTTTCCAGTGAATATTTTGTACACTAGTGTTTTTCCCATATTGACATTTTTACAGATTTCTCAAAAAGTACATGTATAGTTATCCATAGGTTAGATTGTTTAATTTAGCTGCTTCGAATTGATTGTATTGTTCCTAATCATCAAAAGTGCAAATTACACTGTTAAATTGTTACATATTTTTAATTTTTTTTCATAGCTATCTAATCTAAAATTGTGGTAATTCTCTGTATTGAACAGTCCGGTGCCGTGATCCTTACCTTATGTATGGTAGCTTCCGCCTTATCCAGGGCGATCGTTATGAGCATGGGTCCACCATAAGGTACGAGTGTAACCCAGGTTATACATTACAAGATCCAGCCGCTGAATATTCCCATTGTGATGACGGGAGATGGATCCTGGAACCCGTATGCCACCCAGATGATCAAGGTAAGGCAGTTCAAATGATGGGCTGTAATGCCCTGGCATAATGTTTCCATCAACAACAAACCAAATCAAAAGGAAAGCCTGCATTGCATTCATATTGTTAACAGTACATAGTTTGTTACCGTACCTCATGATTGAAAGCCGAATTCTCACTGGACCTTTCACCATCACACTCAGCGGCGGCGGAACGGTTTTCAAACTGGGGGGGGGGGGGGGGGGGCATCACGAAAGAGGGACACTTGCTCTGTAAAAGACACCTTCCGTCGGTAAAGCAGCTAATCCAGCAATTTCTTATATTTCCATGTAGGCCTTGTAAATGCTCAAAGGATTATGCTTTAAAGGATTTGCCCTTGAGAAATGTCTTGCTTAAGACTGAAAATATCCAGTCAGTTTGCTTAAATCACATACAATGACTTCCCAACAGAAAAGCAAAAAACAAAAATTCTTTATGGGATCATAGGCATCTATACATTACATATACATGTACTGTATAACATAAAGAAAATAATGACGATCTCAATGAACGTTCCATGTGACCCAGGTAAGTTGATGTTAATAGAGTGGTGTTATGTAATGGAAATAGGCATGGTTGCGAGGCATTTGTGTTTTTCAACACTACTTTTCTTGTTATATTCCTCGTTCATATCAGAACTCTGTATTATACCATTTTGGGAAATGGTTACAAACAAAGCCGATATTTTACATGTTTTAGGGTCAGTTTTGTTTTCATCATGAGGGGGCACATTTATGCTCAAGGGTTCCGCTGCCCCTGATCACGTGCCAGACGCTATTTTGCTGTTTGCCAAGCGCCCGGATAAGTACGCATACGTAGTAGACTGTCGCATGGGTTGCCTGTGCGACAGTCGACTATGGGTGCAGACCAGTAAATCGGTCCGAAATTGCCTGCGCCGGCCAAATCGCGATTCGCATGCCCCGACCAAATCGCGATTCGCATGCCCTCAAAATCTTCGGTATTTGAGCATGCTGTGGGCCATGAACTTGAAGGTTTGTAAAAACTATGGGTGGAAGCCGTGCACAGGACTGGGAGCTTGCAGTTCTGTGAAAATTGGATGTAATTAGGACCCTAAAAGCGCTCTATTTTGCAATGGAGTGTAGGCATTGTTTTTCAAAATGGCGATGGGCTTCAGGACTATTTTCAGGGGTGATCGTCTTCAGATTGAAATTTCTCCTAAAAGTCATAAGTTGACTCCCCGTAAATTGAACAGAAAGTGAAAGATGATGAAATAAGCTTTAATTTGATGTGTGTCTCGAACACCTTGGAGAGTTGTGAGTATTTTTCCCGAATTTTTGAAGTGGGAGCATTTACCATTGGGGTCTATGGAAGTTTATTTACTGGTCTGCTACCCTATGCGCTTTACGAGGCAATGGTGGATCTGTCGCACGGGTGTTGTACGCATGCGTGCACATCGCCCTAGCTAGCTACACATGAACAGATGGTTGCACATGTAAATGTCAATTACGTGTAGCCTTTTCCCGAGCTCAATGATGCCAAAGTGGAAAATATTTTGGGCAATAAAGATGCCTCCTGTACTAAAAAAAAGTTGTCTACAAACAACTGTACAACCCTAGTTATTGTATTGCAAACAAACTGAACTTTTTTGAGGTTGAGCAATAATATTCTTCTGGAGAGCTGGACAAGTTTCACCGGAGATTTTTTTTTTTGCCCGCGAGGTGCATACTGCAACATAAAGATTCGGCTGAATATGTATGAGGTATAGTCAAAACAATATAACATGGTTTATTTTGGATGGACATTAGATATTAGCTCCCCTTGGTATTTAGTTTGACAACTTCCGATGCTTCGGGGAGCGAATATCGACTGTACACCATCAAACCATGTCATATTTGTGTAATGTTTTACAAGTAATCCAGTGGAAATACCTATTGTCTAAATGTATGTTACCTAGAGATGGGCTACAAATTAGAAAGAATAGAAAAAAAACGGGAAAAGTCACAGTAGGAGAAAGCTTCCTGAACCTTGCTTCCCTTCTTTTATTATCTTTAACTATCTTAACAAAGTTTGATGAACAGATACTAATTCAAAAGGTGGCAGGAAACTTCCAAAATTGAGAGAGATTTTGGGGTAAATCCATGGAATCAGGATGGAATAACATGTTGATTTCATTTGTCTGATTTATGTTTTCAGTGACCGAACCACCTGTGGCAGCTGCCACATGTCCCACACCATCAGTCCCCAATGCCCTCATCTACCACCGTGGCCAAAACATTGCCACAGCAGACTTTGAAATCATCTTTGGTAATGGTGATGAGATTGCGGTTCGATGTATTGCAGACTTCACAGTCAGCGGCAGGGAGGTAGTGACCGCTACTTGTAGGAATAGAGCCTGGACACCTGCACTACCACGTTGCGGTAAGATAAATTGTCTTCATGTCTTTTTTTGGTCATTTAAAACCAAATAAAAAAAATAATTACATCATGACGGTGGGGTTAAGGAGCTAGTCATTTTCATTATTGTATAATTCTTAAAAAAATTAACTTTTACTATATTTATATATTAGGGCCTATAGTTACATGTTTTGCTTTATAGCTTCTTTAATACATATAATAAATACATCATTAAATTTGATTTATAAGATTATTTACCTTTGTTGCTTGGTCAATTTGTTTACTATCATCTCGATAGTAAGAAAATATCAGATGACAATTTTAATTGGTTAAAGACCTATTAAAGTTATGCTTTGTGAACTACCCAAACGGTTTAATTGAAGTATTAATTATTGTTGTATAGTTTTATTCATAATATTTTAGTTTTCACTATCCATCATTCAATAATATCTTACACTTAATGCAACACGATTAAATTTTAATCAACTTATCTTTCGAATCTTTAATCTTTCTACTTTGCTACTTGTTATAAATCTACCCCTTGTTAACTGCTAGAACTCCTACCCCGGGTGATGTTGATTGTAATAACTTTTTTTGTGAGTGGACGGTTGGGCGGCGGCAGTAAAAAGAATATTATAATTGGCATTATTACAGCCAAGCACACTAGTCTCTTTAAAATAGTCTTGTTTGTGGAATCTACATGGTTTGTTTGATTGGGGGAAAAATGCCTTGTGGAGGGAAATTCCAAAAAAATCCAACGTACGTCCAAACAGATGATGTACATGTACAACGTCGTTAAGGTGGTGGAACTTTTGTTTGGCCTGTAATTGTTTTCTTCTCATTAGAGGCCAAATTAAAAGTAATGTATCACATTGACCTTGCCAACAACAGCCCATTAAAGTGTATGAAATCTACGTCGGAACTACCCTGAAAAAGAACATTTATTTTCACCATGGATCAAGTTCAGTTATTCTCTTTTAAAATGAAATGAAGTTACTAACTTCAATAATCGATTAAACTGAATAAAAAACATAATCGATGCTGTGTGTAGGAACTGTATAATGGCCTGTGTTGCCTGTTGCACAACTGCGCAGAGACTGGTAAGCCCTCCATTCAGTGGCGTATCCAGTGGGGGGAAGAGGGGGCCACTCCCCCCCCCCTCCCCCCCCCCCCCCCGGGGCGGATTTTTGAGTGGTCGGGCACAACCCGACCACTGTCTGGATTTGTTCTCATAAATCTTCTCTCTTTCCTTTTTTTTTCGGACAATACTTCTCCGCGGGTTTTCTCCTAAACGGTATATGGTATGAACTTGTAACTTTTAATATATATCGATCCTCATCCGAAGTGGTGCATATTACTCTGACGTCATGATTACGTCATCAGGTGTCAAATTACAAGGGATTTTATCTGAAAAAGTGACCAAATACTTTCACCTATAACTCTTAAACTCAATAATCTATGATGTTTGTATTTTATTATCAGATAGACCATTAATTGCTAAACATTTTTGTCGTGTACGTAAACTCGCTTGACCTTTACTTCCGGGTCTACCGGGAGGTCAAACTAGGTGAATTCAAAATGAAGACGTTAGCCTGAAATCAAAACAAAGCACATTTTCTTCTGAACGGTTTATGGTATGATCACAAAACCTTGTGTGAACTTGTAACATGTTTCGAAGATGTTGTAAATTTTGTTACGTCATCATGACGTCATCAGATATAACATTACAAGCGATTTAAGGGCAAATTTTGACAAAATAGTTTGCGTTATATCTTTTGAACTAAATACAGTAACGTGTTCGTTTTTTTGGTGAGGTAGTAGACTATTCCGTGAGAAACATTTCTAATCCCCGGACACAAAACCGTTTGACCTTTACTTCCGGTGTAACCGGAAGTGCAACAAAAACCTGATACAATTTAAAAGCGGAAGCACTTTATTATAGACATATATATTATGAAAGTGTTTAGTGAGGAATGCCCGACAAAAAAACCTGTGTGATGACGTCATCATCTGAAAGGGCGCCCCCTAGTGGCACATAAAATGTTTTTTCTTTACTTTTAAGACCATAGGTTCAAATTTTACCAAAACGACCCTTGATATTCTTTAATTGACAACAGATAACTTGGCAAGGTTTCAAATTCATGACGTCATCAGACCGGAAGTTACTTCTATGAAAATTTGCCAATGATCATATTTGAAATTTAAAAAAAAATCTATCATTTGAACCATGTCGTATATCTTGACCCTAATCGATACCATTACAATGTTCACCTTTTGCTTCCACATACTGTGACGTCATCGAACCGGATGTGCGGTGTTATGAATACATAGTTTACATACACTTATATTTTCCAAATTTCCATATGTTATTTAACTTCACAATGAACATCCACTCCGAACTAAATCAGTATTACTTCCCGTTTTTGACTTATGACGTTATCAAGCCAGAAATAGCTTGTATTTATACATAGAATGTTTACTGAAATTAATCACACCGTTAAAGATGCGTTTTGTAAACGAAATAATTGATTGTCCTGGAAAGGATTTAATTTTGTGATCCTTTGTTCTTATATAAAACTGTAACTGGACAGTGTTTCATAAAATAGTTGTCTACCCGACCACTCTGCGTTTGTAACAACAAACGCGAACCTCTAGTTTTGACATTTTTTTGTCAGCAATTATTTGAAATGTTTATAGAGTTCTTCTGACATCAATCCCACCAAAGAAAACCCGCTCAACAACCATTACAATGCGGCGTGAAATTGTCCATATAATAATATTGTATACATAATAATGGTAAGTTTTGAAGAGCGCCCCCATTTGGAAGATGGGTACCCCCCCCCCCCTTTTTTTTTTGATTTTACGGAGGGCAAGTGTCCGGAAAAAGAAATATGTCTACATTTCGGCGCGGATGTGCGGTAGGCCCCCCTGACATCAAAAGCTGGATACGCTGCTGCCTCGATTACATATTTTGGTAAATATCAATGATTTAACAATGATCTTTAATGTCTTTGTTGTATGACAGAGGTTTTATACAAGCGCTCTTGTTCTCGTCCTGGGAAGATCACAAATGTCAGACAGTATGTTGACGATTCAATCCAGCTACGTGACGCCCCTCGCACCTCATTCTTCCACCACTCCACCATAATGTCACGGTGTCAGGATCCATTAACAATGACACTGGTAACTGGTCCGCTCCGCACCTGTAATGACGGCAGATGGACTGGCCCTGTGCCAGTATGCGGTATGTTTTACTTTAATTTGTATTTGATTGAACGAAACAAATTATACTAAGCAAGATTTGAATGTGAGAACTCTGTATCAATACTTCTGGTTCTCTGTCAACTGAGTTATTTCGCCAGATTTCCAATACCCAATTGTTTTCTATAAAATTTGTATTTATAAATAAAAACCGTATGTACCAAGTGGCCTTCAATCCTTTCCAACATTACGGTGATTTAGCATGTGGTAACACTCAGATGACAGGATAAGGGATATTATTACTCAGGCCAAGTTTTATTGAAAAACAATATTACATGCAACAATGAAATTCACTAGAGAGGAATTTGTACCTGCGTTTTACAGAACACTCTTAATTCAAGGCATATTTTGGTTTCCCAATGGCTCAGCGTCGCGGGGCACAACTTTGAAATCATGAAATCAAACATATGATCTTTGCAATTTTGTGCACCAAGATCTGGTTGTGTTGCTTGGAGTAATATCCTCTTTTCCTATTCATGGCAGTGCGAGCATCAACTAGCTTCAGCCTCCCAGCCTTACGTACCACGCTCCATCAGTTCATGGCTAATGGAACCTTGCTCATCTACCCTGGTGTTGGTCAGTTGAATGTGGATTGCATTGTCTCCAGCGGTTACCCAGTTTTAGAACACAGTCACTCACAACAATGGGTTTCAGGTGGTGGAGGACAAAAGAAGTATGGTGCACCTGCAGAAGGTCATTCAGGGACTTATACCTGTAAGAAGTTTGGGTGGCCAACTGCATTTCATGTACTTCTGATACAGATAAGAGGTAATTAAAGCTGTTACATGTTGATCCTAGTGAAAACATGCAATATTAGCATTTGAATATAATAAACAAAAGAGGGGGCTCTTAAAAATACAAATTTAGGCAACGTGTGTTTATACGTCTCTTAGCATTACACCAAAACGGTACATTTAAAGATTTGTACTTTATGATCTCCGTTTTTTATATCTATTGAATACATAAAGACTGTTCAAAAGATGAAGAAAACCTCAAAATGGATTGTTTATGTCACTACAAAAATAGGGGGAGGATGATCCAGTACGGGGGAAAATGTCACCCCTGGGATTTACGTCGTTAACATTCATTTTATAAAGTAAAAACAATTATAAAACAACTGAAATATGAACAAGGCTGAACATCATCTATCACTTACCATTAAGAGTGGGCTTAAAAAACATGTTTTGATAAACGTATGATTCATGGGAATGCAAGTTATTTGGCATTATTGGCTCATGATTCATTTTGAATGTTGCAGTAAGGGGTGTAATGTTTTGAATGCAGGTCTTTAATTGTCCCCTGTGTTTATTCTTTATTCTCCAACAACAACTTTCATGTAGCTGTTTCCTGTCCAGAGCCAAGGCCCCCATTAAATGGCCGTCGTATCGGTGATGACTTCCGACTAACAAAGTCAGTGTTATTTGAATGCAACGAGGGCTATGATCTCATCGAGGAACGGACGATCAAATGCAACCTTGGTGTATGGTTGGGAGAAATACCGCGCTGCAGAGGTGAGTGAATGAGGCTTCCAGTTCTAGAATCTGAGTGTATTATTTGCACTAAGAAACACTCTAACCTATATAGCTCTTGCCAGATTCATGTACATGCATCTTGAGTGTACGTGTACCTGATGAGTTTGTTTTGGAAAGTTGGAAAGACAGGATGCTTTGGGTTCACAGCTGTTGAAATGTCATAGGTTGTCATATATGTGACCCTGGGTGTTAAGAGTCGAAAAGTGGGAAGAGGACTCGGCGATTTGGTTTCTGTTTTGTGCTGGTTTATTCTGCATAAACGGAAAAAGGAAAGCAAATTATGACATGGTCTTTCCTCGTCTCCGGTCAGCATTGCAATCACAATTTATATTTACAAACACATAATTAAATGGAATAAACAAAACGAAAGAAGAGTGCAAACTATCTGCATCCATATTATTTCTAGGAAACACTTAACTATTAATTTAACGATACGATTAAAGAAAATGGAAAATGGAGGCTTTTGGTGGTTTACCGCCAAACCGTATCCTACGGCCGCCATCTTGGAAAATTAAGGTTTTTACTGAAAATAGCATCAACATCCAAGATAATGAAACAAAATACTTCAAACTACTCGTTCCACAAGATCAAGAAGATAATGCAATAATAATTTACAGTAAATCAAGACTGATTAAGGTTAAGAATAATTCAAAACTGAAAGTAAGCGGGAACATGTTCATTTGAATCTGTGCTTCGAAAGAGCAACACTTACAAGCAGAATTATTCAGGAAATCACATGAATACATCTACATACTTGTTCATGATAAATTAACTATGAAATGTAAAAGGTACAAGTACAAAATATTTACCTGCATAAACGGGAAAAGGAAAGCAAATTATGACATGGTCTTTCTTCGTCTCCGGTCAGCATTGCAATGACGCTGACCAGGGTCCCGTTCACTACGGCTATTGTGATTGGCCGTTGGTGATTTAAATAATAGTGAAACAGATTTAAATAAGAAAACAGTACTTTGGGAGAAACTACAAAATTATGGGGGGACCTTTTTTAGGCTGGTGACATTCTCCCCTCTTTTTAGAAAATGGTGTCCTCGCCATTTGAATCATCTACAAATATTATGTAATTCAAATAAACAAAATTATGTACAGTGGTAATCAAACCAGTTAGACAACTAAGTCCTTATGTATCATTCATCTCGAAATTGAGTACAAGTCATTCCGGCGCCTGGTTTGGCTTGCAAAATTTAAAGAACTCTATATTCATGTAATACAAATATAACAAACACATATCATAGATCACCATAAATTCTGATAAATTCTGTACATTAAAGAAAAACCTGCAAATTTTGCTTAGCTTGCTCAGCATTAGTTCAAATTTGCACATTGGAACTTCTACTTAAAGGTCATAAAAACAAGATAAGGAAAAACAAATTATTCACATCAGCTTTTCTGCACTTGCTACAGCGAAACGAATATATACAGTAAAATTTATGACACACATTAATCAAGGAGTAGTCAGTCAATGTGTCGGAGTAAGAACCTTATACCAACCTTCCGTCTGGCCTCTGCCATCTTAGGACACTTCCATCTCGCCCACAACTTCCTTCCAGATTTCAATTTTGACTTGTAGAGTTCTTCCAAGGAATTTTCAGTGCGAACTCTATGCTGTTTATTTTGGCCAAGGAAATCATACGACAATCTGTCAGGTGGTCTACGTATTCTTTGCGGTCGTTGTGGGAGGTTGAGATCAGGTGGGGTTTCGATGGACTGGCCAGGTGAGGATGGCAGCAACGATGATGACATTGGTGACGGTGATGTTGCTGGTGTTGGGGACGTTGGCGATATCATGAAGTTAGACGGAGAGTTCCCTGGTGTATCGTCTTGGTACACGTGTTCAGAGGATTCTTTGGCAGTCTCTTTTGTCTCAGCTGGGAAGGGGTTTGTTTGCATGGGACCAAATGCCAGAAAAATAGCATCATCATTTGAGTCATCGCTGGTGTGGTGGTTTCCTGGAGGTATACTTCTTATTTCTGCCTCTGGTTTATGTTCATGTTCCACTGGTTGGGTTCCTTTTGCTGTTTCCTGATTTTCTACTTCTTGGAACTCCTCTTTTCGGTCGAGTTTGTCTGTTGGGTTGTCTTCAATAGGGAAAAACATGCAGGGAGTGAGTAGATTCCGATGCAATGTTCTCTCCTTACCAGTAAGTTGATTGGCAACGATGTAGACTGGCAAGTTAAGGTGCTTAGAGACGACACCATACGGTTGGGGTTCCCAACGGTCAGCTAACTTCTGTGTTCCAATGATGTGTTTTCGCTGAACAAGAACACGATCACCTGGATGGCGGGGGGCATTAGAAGATCCACGATCATACAACCGCTTTTGTTTCGCTCGTGCCTTCTCAGCGATGGTCTGTGCTGCTTTGTATGAGGATCGGAGGTTTTCTCTTAGTTTCTCTACGAATTCGACATAGGATGGAGAATCTTTGTTGTTATCTGGAGCGAACCCAAACATGAGATCTATGGGTAAATTCGGATGGCGCCCGAACATCAGAAAGAAGGGGGCGTGGCCAGTCGTCTCATGCCGGGTGCAATTATAAGCATGAGTCATGGCACTGACATGCTGCTTCCAATCAAGTTTCTAGTCTATGTCAAGCGTCCCAAGCATATTTAGCAGTGTGTGGTTGAATCTTTCAGTGAGGCCGTTCCCTTGGGGATGGTAGGGTGTTGTTCTACTCTTCCTCATTCCACAGACTTTGCAAAGCTCCCGGATGAGTTGTCCTTCAAAATTTCTCCCTTGATCTGAATGAATTCTGACGGGGAAACCGTAGTGGATGATGACATTGTCCCATATGACCTTGGCGACTGTGTGTGCTTTCTGATCACGAGTGGGGTAGGCCTGTGAATACTTCGTGAAATGGTGAGTGACGACCAGGATGTTTTCTATTCCTCCTTTCGACCGCTCAAGCTTGAGGAAGTCAATCCCGACGAGCTCTAGGGGTTCACTGGATGTTATGTTGACTAATGGTACTCTGGTCTTAGACGGTGGGGTTTTTCTCAAACAGCACCTTTTACAGCGCTCACACCACCGCTTGACATCCTCCGCCATCCTTGGCCAGAAGAACCGCCGCCTGACCATATCAAGTGTTCGATCATTCCCAAGATGGCCAAGATCGTTGTGAAGACAGTTCAAAGCCGTCTCTCTGAACTCTTTGGGTAGAACAAGCTGGTGTGATGTTTGTCCGTCTGGTGTCAATTTGGTTCGGTACAAAATATCATCATTCAGATGCAGCCTATTCCATTGTCGCAAGTAAAGCAGACACTCATGGGACTCTTTAAGTCTATCAAGTGACGTTGGCTTCTTGTTCTGTTCGAGGAAAAGGACGATTCGTCCAATGTCTTGATCGTCTCGCTGGGATGTTATAATCTCCTGTTGTGTCAAATTAGGTAGTACCCTACACGGAACATCTTGGGTGTCGAGTTGCATTTGTTGACACTGAACCACACTAGGCTCCATGAAGGGTTTGGTGGCAGTAGGGTGACCAGAACAGAGTGCTTGGACAACCTCATGAAGGATGGTAATAGCCTCTTTATGAAACGCTAGTGATGTCCATGTGGTTTCAGTATGCGGCTTTCTTGACAGGGCGTCAGCTGCTCCATTATTCTTACCAGGCCGGTACTTAACTGTGAAGTCGAACTGTGAAAGAGCGGCGACCCACCTCTGTCCGGTTGCATCTAACTTTGCCGATGTAGTGACATAGAGTAACGGATTGTTATCCGTCAGGACGGAGAACTTACTGTTAAGCAAGTAGTCTCGCAATTTATCAGTAGCCGCCCATTTCAGTGCCAAAAATTCCAGTTTGTGTGCTGGATAACGGGATTCCGCTGGGGTCAATCCTCTACTAGCATATGCGATGACTCGTTCTTTACCGTTCTGAATCTGGCTTAACACCGCACCAAGACCAACGCCTGACGCGTCTGTCTGGAGGACGAATGGAATGGTGTAGTCTGCGTAGGTAAGGATTGGCGGAGAAGTGAGGTGATGTTTTAGTAGGTCGAACGCCTTCTGACACTGTTCATCCCAGATGTATGGAGGTGGTGGATTTGACTTTTTCTTCTTGCCTTTCTTCCTGAGCTTTGGATCTCCTGATGTTAACTTGTACAGCGGGGCAGCGATGCTTGAATATCCTTTTACAAAACGCCTATAATACCCAGAGAAGCCGAGGAACTTGAGAAGCTCTTTGCGGTTGGTCGGAGTTGGCCAGTCTTTCACTTGGGAGATCTTCTCAGAATCAGTTGAGATTCCTTTGGAAGAGACAACGTGGCCGAGATATCTGACTTCTTTTTGCAACAGGAAGCATTTAGACGGTTTCAATTTGAGACCATGTTGGCGGAGACAGGCGAAGACGTTCTCCAGACGCTGGATGTGCTCCTCGAAGGTTGCAGAGAACACAATGATGTCGTCAAGATAAAGTAACACTGTCGAGTAGTTCTGATCACCTAAGCAGATTTGCATCAACCGTTGGAAGGTTGCAGGTGCATTTTGGAGTCCGAAAGGTATACGGTTGCATTCAAAGAGCCCCATGGGTGTGGTAAATGCCGTCTTGATTTTGTCTTGCTCGTCAACCTCCACTTGCCAATACCCAGATGTCAGGTCTAGTGTTGAGAAGAGAGTGGCATTTCCAAGGGCATCCAGTGCATCCTCAATTCGAGGAAGAGGAAAAGCATCCCGGACTGTTTTGCTGTTCAGCTGTCTATAATCAATACAGATCCGCAATTAGCCATCCTTCTTGTGGACAATTACAATGGGAGATGCATAGGGACTGCAACTGCGTCTGATAGCTCCTGATTCCTCCATTGCCTGTGGATGTTCTCGCACCGCTTGGTACTGGGATGGCGGTATCCGACGATGTGGCAGACGAAAAGGTTGGTCATCAACCAGTGGGATGGTGTGCTTGATCGTAGTGGTCTGGCCATAATCCAAAGCGTTCTTAGAGAACACGTCAGAGTTCCTTTGAAGGAGATCACCGAGT